ACTCTGCACTGTACTTACGGTACGTAAGTTGCTGGAAAATAGCAGACTCGCAGGTTACCAGCTGGTTAATTCCAAAAATCATTTGATTCATTTCCAAAATTTCAGATCATCGACATGCAAAACAGTTAAAGGACTATACCTCATTCGGATACGGGGAATCGAACCCCGAGCTGCCGCGAGACAACGAATCGCTCGTCAAATCATGAGAGGCGGCAATGTTAACCATTACACCATATCCGACCTGTCAGGTCTCTTCCAACTACATACACAAAATAACAAATCTTCCATCCGGGACCCAAGGTCAAGACCTCAAGGGAAGCCTAAGCTTGTGGTCGAAGGTACTCGTCTAATTTCACGACGTGTTTTCTTGGAATTCGAAAGAAAAGGTGGGCTAGTGCAGTAGAGTAAGTGTTTGATCGGCATATTGACGAATGGCCCCGAGTAGCACAGACGCTAAACAATCTCTGTCAAAACCACCACCACCACCATCTCCTTGCGCCCCCCAACCCCCTGTTTGCTCCTCCCCCTTTCTCCACTTTGTCACATAACGCATCTATAGAGAACACCCATGAATCACTGCTAGATTCTTTCTCGAACGGAACGGACTATCTATCTGCTTGCATTACGCGCTGTGACCCCCGCACCTCGAGCCCAACACATTCGGCTCGTCCGGTCTTTGCTTCACCTGGGTATTCCGCAATTTTGGGAGGATAGACTAGATGAGGAGTATCAAGGTTGTGATTGTCGGTCCATCCGGGGTGGGGAAGACGAGCTTACGTGGACAGGTGAACGGTTCTTTCTCCACGTCCGGCGGTGTCACTTCCGCTTCTCGTTCATCTATTACAGAGCTGCAATATTGACTTTGACCATAGTACATCTCCAACAGGTTTACACCGTCGTACAGAGCGACGATAGGCGCGGACTTCATCGCTAAGAACGTCACGCTGGATAGCGGCGAAGTCGTCGCCCTGCATATATGGGTACGTCACACCATCCCTCTCTCCTTACTCCTTACTCCTTACTCCCTCACCCACCCCCCCCACCCATTCACCAACTCACCTTACCCACTCAATCGACGCGCTAACACGAATCGTAGGACACAGCAGGCCAAGAACGTTTCTCCTCCCTCTCCAAAGCCTTCCTCCGCGGCGCAGACGCAGCAATAGTAGTCTACGACGTCACCAAATCTCCCTCCGAAATCAAAGAGGACGTGCGGAAATGGATGGACGTCGTGAGAGACGGGGCGGGGCTTTCTTCCAGCGACCACCATCACCATCAAGCGGGTGGAGGAAGGTGGGAGGACGAGGGAGCGGAGGATCGGTTCTGCTGGGCTGTGGTGGGGAATAAGATGGATATGCTCGAGGAGGGCGTAGCGGTAGAAAGTGCGTTGAGGGGCGTGTTGAGCACGTTAGAGGGTCTCGAGGACGCAGCGGAGGAGGACGACGACGACGACGTGCATACAGATTCTATGGAGGCGAGCATCTCGACATTACGACCCGACGGCGACTCTTCTACATCCCAGCCGGTCCCACTCTCCTCCTCGTCATCCTTCACATCCAAACACCACGACAAATACCACAACGGCACACTCACCACCACACGCACAACGCTCACGATCTACCACACACCTTCGACGTCTTTCTACTCCGCTCCGTCGTCGTTTGATGAGGCGGAAACACCTGTCCAGCAACATTCACATGCGTTATCCGAGTCCCCCACCCAGCAACACCGTCCGTCTCACTCGGGGAAACGAGCTCAGTCGTACCATACCCTTGGGCAGGACGACGATGATATGACTACGGCGGATTGGGCGACTGCGAGGGGGAGTATGTGGAGTCGGAGTGATCTCAGCGAGGGAGAGGGGAGTGATACGGAGGACTACCGCCTTGCCGCGGAACATCACACACCGGCGCGAAACCCCGGCATGTTACGTCGTCCGTCGAGAAGCAGGAGTACGAGTGGAGAAACCGTCACGCCCGCCTTATTTCTTGAGCGATCTCGGTCGCGGGGGAGTGGGAATGAGCATTGGGGTGGGGCGAATGGGGAACAGCATACGCACAAGCCCGTATCGTCCTGGTCTTCCTCTCTCTTCCATCGCCCTTCCCCGTCCTCTTCCCACCTCCCTACCCCATCCTCTTCCCATCCTCACCCCTCATCCTCATCGCAACCCCATCCAGACCCACGCCAACCTCCCCCCGCATCATCCTCGTCCCGATCTCAAGGTCCCCTATTCTTCACATCCGCCAAAACACCCACCAACATCACCCCCCTCTTTACCTACGTTGCACGCCTCTCCGTCCTCAAAGCGCAGAGGGAAGAACTCAAGGCGGAGAGGGCGGAGAGGGAAATGGCGTTCGCGGACTCGCAGGGAACTCTTCGGAACCATGGACAGGGAATGTGGAGCTCGGGAGGGGGTGGGTGGCCTGGGGGTGGGGGAGGGAATGGGAACGGGCGCGGGGGAGTGGGAGGGAATGGGAATGGGCGCGGGGGAGGAGGAGCGAATTGGTACAATGGTGGGAATGGGTATGATACTGGAGGTGGGAGGATAGCGGGGCGGGCGAGAGCGAGTGTGGTTAGGCTTGGGGAGATGGTGGGCGGGGATGTGGGTGGGGGGAAGTGTTGTTAGCTCTCTATGTAAGAGCATGGGGAGATAGGTGGATGGATGGTATGCTGCGGGGGAATATGTATGGGACGGGAAGACGTGGAAGGGAGACGGAGGTGGGTGCGGTGTGGTATCTATCTTAGTGTTGTATTTTCGCACAGGCTATCAAGGAAGGAATCTTATTCGGATGATGTTATGGTTATCGTATCGCGCGAAGAGTCTACGTGACGAACAAACCGTGAATTTCATACCACCACGGAAACGTGCGTTTTATACGAAGAGAGAATCGTGCAGAGTACATGTACATGTGGTAATCCGGCGTAAGTAGTAGTCCACAACAAAGCCAAATCAAACGACGAGCCACTGCGCCCCATTACAGTTGAACTGGATCCCTTTCGACCCCACGATAGGCGCACCGTTGTTTCCCACCATGACCTCCAACAACCCAGGCTGACATCCGCCTTGAAATACCGTGCCTTCGACGTCGGATTCTCCCGCCTATCAATCCCAGTTAGAACTTTCCAGTTTATATCCACAGAGCATGGACGGAGAGACTCACGAAACTGTATCCCTCTCCCGCATTCGCCGTAAAGATGGTAAACTGCTGCGCGTACGCATACTCGTTGCATGGAGCGAGTCCGGTGAAATACGGTCCAACGGCGTCTGCTTGGTTAGTGATGGAGATACACTTGTTGCGGGAGGGGACGCGAAAGATGCCTGGCGTTGTTGGTCGGTGGTCAGTGAAAGGCTTAGTTTGGACTGGGAGGGAGGAACGTACCTCCGATGGCGGTAGGATCGGGGTTCATGCCCAAGCAGTAGTCCGGATGGGGCTGATGAGCGGAGTTGCAGAATTAGAAAGGGGCGGATGGAAGAACGTGAACGAGAGGGGACGTTCGATGAACTCGACGTTCACAGCAGGTGCGCTACCCGTGGCAACGTAGGTCAGAGCTCCGCTTGTTGTGAGAGATAACGCCTTCTTTGCGCCTGGTGGTTCGTGCACTCAGGTTCAGACTCAACGCAGGATGGTAGAGTGTGGCCAGCCTGGACGAACCTTTGACGTTGACCTTGAGAGCACCGCAGACTATGGAATCGCAGGTGAACTCCCCGTTTTGTCTGGGTAGAACACTGGCTGTTGCGATGGATACGCAGACTAGAGCGAAGGAGATAACGGAGGCGAGACGAGAGGTCATGGTCGTGAGAATAAGCTGTGTGCGAGAGACCGAAGACGAGTGATAGAATGAGGAAGCAACAAACTATTCGAAGGCTTTATACTCCCAGACCTAGAGCGCTCGTCGCAGATCCAAATTAAAGTGCGTCCAGGAGTGTGAATGTGGCTTGCTCACGGCGGCATAGTGCGACCGCACGTCGGCAGCGCATCTCGGGGTCTGGTCCCAGAATAGATCTGTATCCAGAGAAGCGCCATGCTCTGCATACGCTCTGGCAAACACCGTCGCTGGAAAAGTGTCTATGGCTCTGCTCTGTCTGTCGATGTCGAGAAAGCATGCAGCGACCTGAAAGCACCGAGGAGCTCTGGATGCTAAGCGCCGCTGCTCAGGTTCAAAATTGGACCCAATCGAGCTTTCGATGGTTGCAGTTGGCACTGGACATGTCGCATCCCCTGCGTTCGTGCGTACATGCGCGGCGGTTCGTAAGTTCGGCTCAAGCTGCAGTTCAGACTGTATTCAGACGATTCTAATTGGATTTTAGTCGTCGTGGTTGAATTGAAAGATGGGAACGCCATGGCACGTGTTACAACCTTGGACTCCTCCTTCTACGTCCTGCCTCGCCACTTCCTTATTGTCCTTGTATCTCGTCGCGATGGATGCTCTTGTTCTGTCGCCTTCGACTGTTTAAGGTTACCGAATTCTTACATCTACACCGTCACTGCCAACCGCTTTGTACAATCTTCCACCTGAACTGCCATCTAACTCGACGAACACTATAAAACGAACCATCCTACTTCGCTCTCTACGGAACGCACTGGACTAACGCCTTCTATTTTTCGAGTACCTGCTCGACTTTCCGATATATCTGGTCTCTTCGCCATGAGACGCTTGTAATATATGGACGACGAACACACTAGATCCCGGGTGAGCATTTGTGGCGTCAACCACATCTACTACTCTTTTACGCTGATACAACCTCTTGGAAAGCTCGCTGGACGTGTGCTAGCCGCTACTGGTATCCCTGGATCTCCGCCACCTCAAAACATTGACTGGCACATCGCCATGAATGGCGGTCCTCTCTCTCCTCCGCCGACACGCACTTCATTGCCTACGCCATAATACAGCTATTTCTCCTCTCATGGGCTGACCTCGACGCCCGGCCCCTCCGTGTCAAACGCAGTCCGTGCGCATAAGAAAGCCATTACACACAGGAAATCCCCTGCGCATTTACCATTCACGCTACAGCCTGGTTTTATGCCGTTTGTGCCGCCCTCGCCTTTTCCTCCCCGTATTTCTAGCACTGATTGGAGGCCGTCTCCGCCTCCTTTCCCTGATACAATGCCGTTCTCTCGCCTCTGCCCTCGACGCCATATATCCCGACTTCCGGAAGTGCTGTCCGACTGCGGTGGGGTTTGGTGTACTATTCCCAAGTTTACATTCAGCCCCTCCCTTTCCCTGGAAATCGGGGCTAT